TGGATCCTACCTTATCAATTGGAAACACCTTCTTTAACTTTTCTTTAAGCTGTGATCCAAGGTCAATAGCTTTCACACACAATGATTTATCTTTTGCAAGATCTGTTTTTGCTGGTTCTGTATTAACAGATTCCGTTTTGGGAACCCACTTTTATTTGATTGTGGAGGGAGAGTAGACATGGGCTTTGTGATTGAATGGTTGTTTACTGAGGTGAGCTTTAATAATTTCCTCTTTTGAAAGCCTGTTAAGGTGTTTCCTAGAATGAACTTTGAGGGGATATTTCATATTAGGTATGCAGAAGATTCCCTCAAAAGTTTTATTCTTGGTTTCCTTTCTCGGTTTGTGCTCTCTTTGAGGTTTAACTTTAACAACATTCACATCACATTCATAATTATGAGGATCTGGAACAGAATAACCATAAGCAATACTAGAATTATGAATATAACGATGTCCAAAAGATGACACAGAGTTTTTCAGCTTGGGACACAAGACTGAATAACTAGGAGATTGTTTGACAGTGCCAGAGTTACATTTAATTTTAGAATACAAAAGAGAACTGGAGCAGGAACTATTCTTTTGTTCTTCAAAAACATTCTTATTTCCTTCGGCAATTTCCTTCCTTTTATCATGTGACCAAAGGAGAAGAGGAGTGAGTGGGAGCAACTTTAGAAAACTTAGTTTTGTTTGGAGAGGTGTGAGTTTCCTTTTGCGCTGTATTAGAAGTGGATTGGGGAGTTGTTTTTGAATGGTACTTTTCACTCAACTCATTAAACTTACTCAAAAGTTCCTCCCAGTTACTTTGAAAACTTTTCTGTCTTGTTTCAAACCCTTCTCTCTCTTCATCTAGGGTTTTTTGCAAATCCTTATGTTTTTGGGCCATTGGAAAAATACAAGGTTCCTTACCAAACTTAGTAATGCCAATTGTTGTAGGGGGTCTGAGGGATGTCCCAGGTGTGGAACATCCTGCACAGTAGCATAAGGATTCACACACTCATCAATAGAAAATTTTTGCCCTTCGCATGTAACGCTTTTTTCATTTAAACCAGAATAATTGAAAGAAGTTTCAGTTTTTGGATTCTTTCTCTTTTCTTCTTCTTCTTTAGTGCATTCTTCTTGACCAAAATACTCCATTTTCTGACCATATCCTAGTCTCATGAGATCTAAGTCATAAAGCTGGATGCAATCAACTTTCTTTAAATTACAAGGATTAGTCATGCCAAGTCCGGATCTGGGATTGTAGTACTGGTCATCACTAATCTGATTTAGAAAAATGGTTTGTTCAGATTGACCTCTCCTAGCAATCAGATCTTCGAGTTCTTTGATTTTGCTGAGAAGCGAATTTCTTTTATTTTGAAGAAAATTGTTATCAGTCTGTGCTGTGTTTTTCTCTCTTTCACTGTCTTGCAATTTCTTAATTGTATCAGCTATCTTAATTTCAAGACTTTCTGATTCTAAGGTTATTTTTTGACTTCTTCTTTTACATTTTCTAATTGAATGCTGAGAGATGTATTTTGGTCCAGATTCTTCTTTAGGACCCTGAGATTATTTTCTAATCTCTCCCTCATTTCTTTAATGATGTTGTCCTTATCAAGTAAGGACTGATTTTGATTATGGCAAGAGCAAGGAAGAGCAGATGTACTTACAATGCTTGTTGAGCATTCATCACCGGGGATCGCAGCATCACCCTTTCTCTCTTTTTCATCTTCCACACGAGCCATCAGGACAAAGTTTTCCTCCTCCTCCTCTTCATCAGAAGTGACTTCTGCCCAATGATCTTTTTCAGCAAGCATTGCAACATTCTCCTCTTCTTTCTGCACCATGAGCATCTTCTGCTTATTCCATAGCATTTTCTGCTTGTAGAAGTTTGCATCCCTCTTCGTTGGTAGGCGGCAGTCTTTGATGACATGTCCAGCCTTACCACAGTTATAACATTTGGGACCATCTTCACCAACGGGTGCCTTCCCAGAGGAGCTTTGATCATTGTACTTCTGCTTGTAGTTTGTGGAGGAGGTTCTAAGCCCGTTTGAAGAGCTGTTCTTCTTCGCACATTTCCTTGTCAGCAAGGCCATCTTCTTCCGAAGATCAGCAAGTTCAGCTTCAATGTCAAACTCTTCTTCATCACTTTCATCATCTTCAGACTCGACCACCACTTTCTTCTTCCTCAGAGTTTTAGTTGTTCTTCTAGGCTGTGCTTCCATCACAATAGCCAATGAATTTGCACCGAGCTGATCTTCAGGGCAATCAACGTCATTAACAAACTGCTTCAGGTGTTCATGAAGTGTGCAAAGGTCAATCTCATCAAGGTCGAGATGTTGCCTCACTTCCTTCACGGTTTTTCTCCATTCGGGGTGTAAACTGGACAGAAATCTTATATTCAATTCCATATTGTATTTGAATACTTTGATCTTTCTCAGCTCATTTATCAGCTTGACAAATCTGTTATAGGTCTCATTCAGTTGTTCCCCAGAGGTAGCTTTGAAAGAATCATAAGCAATAAGTGTGCTTGCTTTCTTGGTATTCAAGCTTATGCATGTGCCTTGGAGCAGTTTCTCAATTTCGTCCCACATCTCCTTTGCCGTTTGCATGCTATCAATCCACACATAGATTTCTTTTGGGATAGCTTGCAGCAGGTATGTCTTTGCCATGAGGTCAGCTTTCAGCCTTAACTTGTCTGCTTTGGTATGTTCAGGTGGAACTTTCAGTCTCCTTTCAGGAATGATAGGAGGGTTATTTTCTGGATTTCCACCAACTGAGATCCAAAGCTCAGCGGGTCCTTCAAGGAGTGATTCAAGCATTGCAGCGGAATTGTATTTATGTTCAAGGAAGTTTAAGAATCGATTTCTCCACATCTAATATTCACATCTCCTTAGAATTGGAGGGGTACTGCTATTTCCTTGTGCAATAGATTCGGATGCCATTGTTGTTGTGAAACTGACCGTTCGAGATATTTCCTTGTGCACTTTGTCACGGTGCGTCAAAATAATCTGATACTAACACTTATACGTAGTATAGGTGAAGTAGAGTTCATATCTACAGGGAAAGGAATAATTATCTTTTCAATGAAATAAGTAAATAAAAAAGGGGGGGATTTGGATTGAGTGATTTAATTTAATTTGAACACTAAATTGAACGACTTATATGAGATTTAATTCAAGAATAAAAGGGACTTGGCCTTGTTACTTTCCACTTGTTGATATATTTTAGTCGATCATTGTTATATCTATAACTTATCCCTTCTCGAATACTCAATCGAGGAGTATCTCCAATTCATCGAGGGTAGTTATTAACAACGACCGTTCATTAACAACCCTTACTATTAATCAAATATAGAGCAGCGCCGTATACCGATATAATAGTGGCATTCAATCTTTTTAACTCCTTGATGAAATCAATTGAGATTGATAACCTCAACACAACGGTTTCGGTTTAACCAACAAAATTAATCCCTCTTAAGTCTATTAACCACGACTATGCATTAATAAACCGAAGTTACTTACTTGTGAAACCACCAACGATTAACCATCGGTTCGTTGATCGTTTCTAGTAGTATTGTCGGAACGTTAACTAATCGTCACTTAGCAACCCTCCATCATTAATATAGAATGAGATTAAGGGAAGAATTAATAATCAAGAGAAGAAGTTAAGAAAATAACTCACAACTTTAATAATCAACAAGCTTCAAGAGCAAAACCAAGAAATGGAAGTTTAGCTCCTCATTTGGAGACTAAACATAGCTAGAAAAATATAAAGAAATGATATTATAAACTGAGCTTAAGAGTATATGTGAATTGGTGAATTAATGAGGAGGACATGAGGTGTATTTATAGGCTTTTTAGGCTTGCAAGGTCGTGTACCTGATCGGGCTGTAAGGGCACTCGATCGGGTACTCGGTTGTTTCGCGGAAGTATAAAAAACTGGGACATACCCGATCGGGTATGTCGGCCACCCGATCGGGTATGAACACTCGATCGTGGCTAAAATCTCCCCTGCATGTTGCCTTGTTCCCGGGTTCATCCGATTTGATTTTTCAGCGACTTACCCGATCGGGTATAGGTCATACCTGACCGGGTACAACACCAAAAATCATAATCTTCAATTTGTCTTGAGATTTTTGCACCTTCCTTCCATTTGTGATGTTCACCAATGATCCCTAGAGTGATCTTGGACCTGTTTGAGCTCAGCATAAATCTAATCTAAACAAATTATAAACATTTTTACAAACTAAACTATTACACCAAATGTATGTAATTTCCAAAGTAACAATCAATCTAAACTAATTAAAAACACAAACATAAACATGGAAATTACATGAATGTAAATCACCCAAAAATAATCGATAATTGGGATTATTAATAACGGAGTGACAACCGTTGCGATTATTATTTTCAATTTTCCTACATAATAATAGTTAATACGGAGTAGTTTTTATTTTGAGGCCCCCTTCCCATATGAGGCCCTGGCCTAACTGGTCGCATGGCCACCACTGGAAGCTATCGATCATTATGTGTAGTTACCTAAAGCGGTAAATTTATATGTAGGTATCTGCGCGTGTTTAGTCTAAATCATTAGGCCCAAACATTTATGTGGGGCCCAAATTTACTTTAGGTAATGAATGAATTAAAGTACTAAACACACTAGAAAAGGAAATACATATAATTACAGAGATATTTATATTAAAATTGATCAGAATCATAAAATATTCTCTAACAATATGCTCCCAAATGAATGATGTAGTTGTATGTATGCTTAACTTACATGTTATTCCAAAAATGAAAAAATCTCCGTAATAAAAATATGTAGATGCAATTAGTAGATAATAAATAAGCTGATTTTGTGCAAGGAATGGAAAAAATTTGATATAAAAAAGGTAGAGAAGTTGAGGATGGAGAAGGAAATAGGAGGATGAAGAAGAAGAAAATGATCAAATTTTACTTTTTGGATATAAGGGATAAAGATGGAAAAGAGAAGAGGCAGGGAAAAAAAGTGAGACAATGAGAATGGTAAATAAGATAGAGGTTTAATATAAGCACTGCCACACAACATCATTTATTTCAACTATTACCCATGCATCACATAAAAACGAAGTGGCGTACAATTGCTTGAATTGAAGCACTTAATTAACGACACCCAGACGTTTAAAAAAAATAATAACAGTACGGAGTAATATGTAGTAATAATAATATTTCCAAAAAAAAAATAGTACTCCGTAATAATAATTTAATAATTTATTTGGGAATAATTATAATGGTTTAAATTTCATGCAGCAGCCTCCCCAGCTTTATGGAAGTTACTACGCTCCACGATGCGTACGGGAAACCCGTCTGCCATCCTGAAACTAACATACGACTCACAATGTGGAGCGCCGACGCCGTCCGCGGCCACGTCCACCACCCGGAAACGCCGCAAGACGGCGACTGCCACCATCTTGAGCTGCATAAACGCGATGTCCTTACCCATACATATCCTCGGCCCCGCCTGAAACACCGGGTACGTGAAAGCGTCCCTTGCTACGAAACTCCATCGCTCCGGCTCGCCGCCGCCGCCTTCTTTCTTCAACCACCTCTCCGGTTTGAACTCCGGCCAGTCGGCTCCCCACACCTCAGCTGACCGACCGACCGCGTAGGTGTGGCAGACGATTCCCATCCCTTTCTGCACCCTCGTCCCGTCCGGCCACACGTCGTCTTCTCTCGCTTGCTTTCCCTCTAACGGCACCGGCGGGTGGAGCCTCAAGCTCTCGGCGACGACGGCGTGGGTGTACGCCAGATCTTTAGTTCTCCCGGCATCCAAATCCTCTATTTCTTGAAGAATCTTTGCTTCCACCGCTGGGTGGCGAGCGACGGACCAAAACAGCCATGTAAAAGCGGACACCATCGTGTCGACTCCGCCGAGAATAATGGCAATGCCGGCGTCGATAAGGAACGTTTCGTCTGAGATGTTCCTGCTCATCAACCTGTAATTAAAAAATTCATTCACTTAATAACTACTCATTCCTTCCAATTTTTCTTGAAATTAAGACGGGGTTTTCCAAATGCCATTTGCCTTAGGTGACATCTCTGTAGCCATTAAAAAATGGGATACCGAACTTACCATTTACTAGTTCAAATCATTATATCATTTTTAATTTAGATTTAAATAATTCAACTACACCATTCTTATTGGTACCTTAAAGGTACCATAGAAACTATCTTTCCATAAAGACAATTTCTACGGTAACTTCAAGGTACGTACCTTGAAGCTATGCACCAATCACAAAATTTCAATTGAATAATTTAAATGTAAATAAAATATGAATAATTGAGTTGGACCAATGAAATCCATGCTAGGTAATCGTACTCTTGTATTTTTGCTGGGTACCGTAGCAATCACCTTCCATACAAACTGACTACAAACAATGTAGAAAACGGGGTTTTCTTGATACAGTACAGTGTCCAAACAATGCACTCTTCAATAAAATAAAATTTACTGTTCAGTAAATTTATTTCCTTAATATGTGTGAATTCAAAGTGTGACTTTCATTTTGAAATGGAAGGAGTTATAATACAAAGAAATGGAAGGAGTTATAAAAGGAGTTATAAATTTGTTTCGTTTTTTATATAAAAAGCCGATGCTTTATATTCAAACAAAAAAAGAAATACTCCGTATTTACATACTATCTCACTAAAATAATACTCCGTAGAACTTTAATCATATTTTGTAAATAAGTTTTATTTTAGTAATATTTTTAAAAATACAGTTATAATACATAGTAACTATGGTCTACGAGAATAAATTATAAAAATCACTCCAAATAGGACTAAAACTATGTAAAAACTCAAAATAGGACTTACTATGTTTTTCTTTTCAAAATAGGACTATATTAGTCCTATTGGAAACATACATATTTTCTCATTTCATTCTTACCCTTCCTTTAAATATGAGTTAATTAAATGTTTAATTCATAATAAATTCGAATAAAATTCAAAATTCGTAGAAAAATAATTAAAAATTTTATAAAATATTTATAAAATAAAAATTTAATTGTTTTTATTTTTTTTAAATTAATAAAAAATAGTAAAACTCCATAAAAAATATTAAAAAAATATGGATGCCTTTCCCACCGCATGTACTACCTCCCTGCACCACCATCTCCGACTGGTGATAAATATGCCATTTTCTTAAAAACTGCCTTTTTTTTTTTGAAAATGCCAAAAACATGACATATTTCTCTTTGAGAATGACAACATTTTCATTGTTTTCTGACATAAATATGGCATTCGTAATGAACTTGACATTTTTTTCCCTGGTGATTGGAGGTGGTGGTGCAGAAGCGGCAGAGGCGGCGGAGAATTTTATTTTATTTTTCGAGTTTTTTTTTTTAAAAAATTAATTTTTATTTTTTCAAAAAATAAATAAATTAAATATTACTATCGAAATATTTTTATAATTATTTTTTAGGAATTATTAATATTTTTTATTATATTATTATGAATTAAAACATTTCAATAGTTATAAGGGTATATTTGTCCAAGACACACATAATTTGTCCTATGAAAACATAGTTTATTTTTTGATCTTATTTGTGCACAGTGAGTGACTTTTAGTTTTATTTTGATAATTAACCCAATAAATTAGTAATTCGGAGTTATTACAAAATAAAATTCTCAAATAGGAAGAGGGAGAGTAAATGAGGAGGGACATAATAAAACAAAAATTGAAACACACCGTACCTTGACAAGAAGTCGTCTCCGAACTCCTTTCTTTCCCTGATTACTTTGCCGATGAGTCTCCGGAGCACACCCACCGCCCGACGGAGCCGCCACTCGGACCCAACGTCAAGAAGCTTCATAACTTTCCACGACGTCACGAACAGCGAGGTGCTCCTCTTCCAACTTATGTCCATGGCTTCATCGAAGGCGTCGCCGAATTCCATCTCTGGGTACGACGGGGAGAGGTAGGCGAAGTCGTGGCCGAGGCCGATCCTGCCGACCACGTCGAAGGTGAACCGGCTGAGTATATCTTGCAATTTCAAGATCTTGTCGCCGGCGGAGGCGTCGGAGAGAATCGGAAACATCCGGTCGGAGAGCTCGTGGAGGGTGATGGTGTCGATGAAACTAATGAAAGACTTGGAGTGAAGCTCGGCGCCGTAAAGCATCCTATGCTTCTTCCAGGTCTCCCCTTCGGCGAGAAAAATGCTGGCACCGAACAAGTCCCGAAAAGAGTCCGCGAAATTCCTGGACTTGGGGTAGTCCTTGAACCTGGTCTTCATGAAGTGCTGAATGTTCTTCGGGTTGGCGGTGAGGATTCTTGCGCGGCCGAACGGGAAGCGGAGGAAGAACGTTGACGTCGGAGACTTGCGGAGGACGTCGGCCGTCCACTCAAGGACGGCCTCGCGGTGTTTGAGCATGGCAAAGATATGACCGGTGAATGGGTAGGATCTTGGTAGGCCATGTTTGGATGGAACAGCCTTAATATACAACAAGTAAAAGACCACAAGGCAGAACACCGAACCACATACGATTTCGACAATGTCTTCCATGGCGGCTGAATATATTGAACACCGTGGTTAGTGTTTTTATATATTCAGCCCAGCTAAGACGCAACGCACTTTCCCCTCTCCGTTTCTCTGTTTTATGAACTTGCAAGGCTAGCGTATTTATATGGGGAATTATGGAGTTTTTTTTCAGTTAGTTGAAGTACTGGGGAAAACGTTGAAAATAATGGGTCCCGTATGGGGCCCCGGGTGCTGATGATATTTCACTGAACTGTTTAATTTTAATCACTACAGTGTACGGTTCCACCGTACGCGGGCGTCCATGTATAGATTGATAGAATAACCATTTAGAGTTGGAGTGGTTGTAGTAGGCTAATAACCATGTGAAGTGTGGATGCACTTCACCCCGATATCGTATTCGCGTATCTGATATCAATACTCACTGATACGTGTATGTATTGGATCTGTATCTATAATTGAATAAAAAAATTGGACTTCTTTTTAAAAATATAGATATTTCTAATACACGTATTCGTAAACCGATACACGTATCTACCTCTATAAACCTAATTTAATGCACGACATGACGAAATTTAGTAGCCGTCCAAACACTACAAGATGTGGAACATTAGTAAAGATAATTTCGGGAGTATGAAAAATATTGCAATGTTATAGAGAAAACTACCCTAGCTATGACTAAAACTCATTCACTTTCTCAATGTATGATCTTATTAGTTTTTTCTCAAAATATTAGTATTTTTTATGGACTAAATAATATGCCCTTAGATTAATTTTTAGGGCAATGAACGTGGGCAGTAAATTTTTATGGATTCTTAGTAGTTTTAATTTATGTTTAAGATTCCACAAAAAAAATGTGGGCAATAAATGTGGGCAGTGGTTAATTATGGCAATAGATAATGTTAAATATGAACAAGGAACATGACATTAGATAGTACGGTACATGGGCAGTGAATGAATGCATTGATGAAGTGTCATGTGCATTGGATCGAAGGCAATAGAGCAATAACGATGACACGCAATGTAAACTTTGACTTAGGCATCTTTGACTTTTCTAGTCAAAGATGGTAAACTTTGACCAATTATTTAAACTAATATATTTATGCAAACTTAATAATTTTATACTTTTATGATAGTATTTTTAACAAAGAACATTTTCATATCATTTTCATATTATTAATATTCTCTCTATATAAACATATAATCGGTCAAAGTTAGACGTCATTGACTTGAAAAGTCAAGTTTGGCTAACTAAAATGGGACGGAGGGAGTATATTTAACTGGACGTAAACTACTAATTTAAAGTTGATACAACTTAAAAGAGATAATAGCCCTAAATAGGACTAAATTAATCCCTAAATGCTCAAAAAGGACTATGCTATTTATATTCACCAAATAGGACTAAAGTACACTTTATCTTCCTATCCTACCCTTACCACAACTTAATAGTATAATCATATTTTAATTTGTAATAAAAAAATATTAAAAACTAATTTAACCTATACAAAAAAGTTGTAAAAAATATAAAAAATTCTAAAATATTTTTAAAAAATACGAAAATCATAAAATTAAAAAAAAATAAAAAATTCAAAACATTAAAAATAAATAAATAATAGATAAAATAACTTAAAAATATAAAAAAATATGGAGACCTTTCCCACAGTCTCGGTTACCGCCTAGCAACTTTATCTTTGATCGACTAAAAATGTCATTTTGTGTAAAAAAATGCCATGAAAGTGGCATTTTTACTCTTGAAAATGCCAAAAAAATTCTCGTAAACTGCCATCAAGATGTCATTTTTTAGACCCGGTGTTAAGCCACTTGAAAGTAGGGTAAGGGCCAGGGAACACCTTACCAGTTTATTAGAAAGATGAAAGGAATACACGGTCGGAGGACTAGACCAAAACCTACCCAATCGTCAAACATACGAATAACTAATAGCATCAAATTTAACAATTCCTAAAAAATTGTTGTAAATGATAGAATTGTTCTCAAAATGCACCAAATTGTTCGCAATATACTCAGTGGCTTTGTTACAAGGTTTCTTAATGTACGAGAAATCTAAATTGTATCCCTCGAACTTTTCTTTAAAAGCCAGCAAACTGGATAGAGTTTTCCAATGTGATCTTAGTGCCCCTTTAGCTTGTTCATTAGAGTCAGGTGCTTCTTGTGTTCTCCTTGCTGGATCCAGGCCATATACTTCAATGGACAGCGCCTTGATGTAGTTGTGGATGTCCATAAGATCCGTCTTCACCCCATCTTTGACTTCATGTTCCAGGCTTTGAACCTTCTTCTTTGTTGTTTCAAGATCTTGGCCCAGCTTCTGGAAGTCACTTCATTGCTTCCAAAAGGTCTCTTGAGTGGCCTTTTGGAAAATTTGGAAGTTGTTTGCAACATCGTTTGTTAGTTGCTCATATGCTTGAGCGTGAGCCTGCTGCTCTATGAGAAACTTTTGAGAGAGCTTTAACATGGCAGGGAACTCCTCATGTTTGAGCTTGTTCAGGTACTCTTCATGCTCCTGCACCTTTTGAAGAGCTTGTTCTAGGTTAGGAGGAAGAGAAGGGAGAGAAGGTACCTGGGCAGAGGACTCTGCTGTGGGTTGGGAGCCAGCTGCTAGCTCTTGATCCCGCAGTTGCCTGGTATAGGCTTGAATCTGGTTTTCCATCTCTTTGTCTTTTCCCCGTTGATCTGCAAGCTCTTTGTGTATGGCTTCTATCTGAGCTGGCTGCTAGGAGAGTTGAATTTGAAGTTGTGCCTTCTGCTCAGAATTGAAGACTTGTTGGATCATTAGGTTGCTCTTGATATGGCAGTGTACTTCTGCGAATTGCATCTCCAGTAATCTATCGAAGTGCTTCTGCATCTTGATCAACCTCTGGTGAAGTCTCACTTCAGCATTGCTAATGAATTTTGTAGTGGCTCTCCTTTCCTGGATGAAGACCTCTGCCATTGTGGGAGTATCCTCTTCTTCTTCACTTTGAGGCTCTTGGTTGAGGTCAAATTGTGGAGTGGCCTGCTGTGAGATGGCAGTTGCCTACTCTGTGTGTGCAATTGCTTCCATAGCTTTGGAGGTTTCACCACCTCCTTAAGTTTCCAACCTGGATTTCTCCATTACTCCTCTAAGTTCTTTGTCACTAGAAGAAGAGGAGTGAATGATATGCTTACCTTTGTTGCTTGGAGGTCCCTTGGGATCATCATCATCACCATCCTCATCGCAGGAGTCTTCAATTGCCGCCTTGGCAGTGGGCTTCTTTTTCTTCATGGCGTAGACTTGGTTGATTTTGTAGAGAGTGGTTGCTATGGCAAGATCCTCTGTGCCAAGCCATTCAAGTTAGAAGTCTTCTTCATAGATGAAGTTTCCTAGGGTCTCAGCTTGATGGAGGATTCTTGATAGCTTCCATGTCCTCCATGCTTTGACCCTGGCTAGTTCTGCATCCAACTGCTCGAGGAGAGTTAGAGATGGTGAGCTGACTGCTGGAGATGGAGGAACCACCTGTTCGTCTTGTTGAACCGCCTGCTTTTGGGTTTGAGCCAGCTGCTTGATGTTGGCTTGCATGTTATTTTCATGCCTTAGCCTAGACATGAGGACAGATAAGGGTGTGGCTGACTCGTTGATATCTTCCTCTTGGACGATGGTGAGAGGAGAGACTGCAGCTTCCAGTTCTTCTTGTATATTTCTGGCTGCTGTTTTTGTCCGCTTTGATTGAACCTCTTCACACCTTGATCTGAGTCGCTTGGCCATTTGTGTCTTGATTCTGTTGAAGGTGGTTCAGATAGGCTCGTTGGATTGCATGGTGTCATCCTCCTTTGGAGTGTCTGAGGCTCCTGCCTTTGAAGTTTGAAATAGGATCTTCTTCCAGGTTGATGATTCCTTGGTGGCTCCCCTGATCCCTTTCTTCTTCAGGAGTTCCCCAATCAGAAACCCATACCCCACCAATGGTAGGGTATTGTCCTCTCTTCGTTCTTTGTGAGATTTGTTTACATATTCTTGGAGTTGTTTGTAAACATACCTTGACCAGTTGTATGGAGAGCCTGAGATGATTGCAGCCATGTATTTCGCCCTTTTTTCATTTAGTTCATCCAGAGCAGTGGTTTTTGTATCTATGCATTTGTAGAGTATGTCCATGAGTAGAGCATATTCATGGACCATTTTCTTCTTTTTGACTTTGAGTGATGTTGCGGGCCAGTCATCTTCACGTAGAACAATTTATTTGAAGTGTTCTGTGTCTAGAGTGAGGTCTTCGACTGATGGAGCTTCGTCACCAGGAAGAGATAGCAGTATCCTGATATCCCCTTCTTCAATTTCCACAGGTCTTCCCTTGATGACTGATTTAAGTGTTCCTGGCTCAGAGTTGAGATAGAATTCGGCCACCACTTCAAGATAGAAGTGTGAGTAGGGATAGGTGGCTATGTTCATGAGCCGCGTTGTTTCCAGTTTCCTTAGCAGCTCTCTCATTAGGTCACTATTGTTGTCTTTGATCATGGCAACGTTGGTGTTGAGATTTGGATGAGAGAGGCCATTTATGTTTTGACTAGGTTGGTGGATTATGAAGGTGTAGTGACGATGAGGTGGTAGTTTGAGTGCTTTTGGGAGCTTTGAGAGTGCTTGAGAGTTTAGAAGGGAGGTTAGAGAGATATTGCAAGTAAAAAGTGTGAAGGAATTGTACGGCGAATGTATTTATAGTTTATCGGAAATTAGCCGTTGGGATATAGCCGTTGGAGAAGACGGCTGGTCACTCTTGGCATTAACTGCTAGTTTCTGTGTTCACTCTGGTGTTAGGAAATTGATGTAACGTACCTCGAAAGTACGGCAGCGGAAGTTTAAAATTTTCCCAAACAGATCTTCCCTGATTATGACAAAATAACGAATATGATAATAATAACAGATCTGAGTTAGAACTTACAGATCTTCCAGCCTAGCGGTGATAATCCTTGACCTTTGGTATCCACGTGATTTCTCCTTTCTGAAAGAACGGTCAGATCTCCCTAAGAGAAAGGCTAGGAAATCTCTTCGCAGGGAAATAAACTGGTAATACTGAATCTAAAAATTGGTCTGTAAATTATGAAGGAGAAGGATGTATTTATACTAGTTCGAAACTAGTTTTCCAATCACAATGAAAGTCTTTCTAATTAATGAGTTCTAATCCTA